TAGCAGCATGCGAGGGTTTGTTCAGCGCAGCTGTCCAGTGTTGAGATTGCTATGAGGGTTAGCAGAATTTCAATTTATCCTCCATTGCAGAGAGTACATGTCTGTTTGGCGCAGGAGAGCATGCCATCACAGTCGTGGCATGGAGCAGGCGCGTGTGTGTCAACAGGGGATCCAGTGGTAACTAAGATTAAGGCAATTTGGTGACATCAGGGGCTCTTTTGAGTGCAACTGGGGTCTGAGAAATTGGCTCAAATCTTCAGTGGGCGCGCACAAGGGCATCGCAGATCTTTACCAAATTCCAATCAAAACAACCCCAGATGTCACCAAATTCACCCAATTGTGGAAGGGCCAGGTCCAGGTGCAACAGACTCGAGCAGACGTCCCAGTAGTTGTGTTGACAAGGGCTCCAGCTGCCCATCAGCCCTCGCAATATTCTAGTTCAGAGTGACCATCCAAGACCCGAAGTGCTCCAATCCAATGAAATTATGCTCGAAGCTCCTGAGTAGGCCGGACCATGGGACCAGTTGTTGAAAGATAAGATGCTTTGGCCAGCACGTCAGTCATAAATCTGGCCTTCTGAAGCTCACTTCATTGTCATGCAATTGGTTCAGACTCATGGTGGTCAAGGCACAAATACATGGAGGTGAAAGACACTACCAGCTGTCCTGGCACTGGCTTTTCAGTCATAACTATATAATAGATGTGGCCCTCTGAAGCTTAACTGACACAATCCGCACATGGTGCTCAAGGTACAAGTGGAGGTGCTCCGGTCATGTGGAGCATTTGTGGTCTAGATCAGAAATAATGGTGAATGAATCTAGCTATTTGGAACTGCAATTTCTTAGCAGCAGTCGACATGAAACAAATCAGTGAAGTAGTGTCAATGGTCAATGCTCCTGGAGTCGATCAGAAACGGCATGCTTGTTTTAAGTACAGATGTTGTAGTTCGCAATGGATGGTGTTGATGATTGGTACCTGCCAGCTCCAACTTCAACAGCAGCGCAGCAAAAACCAAGTGAAAGTCTGGGTTCGCGCGATGCTGCAGCCAAGGAGACTCCTTGCAATGGGAGGTATCTTACTGAGGAAGCCTTCTCCAAACTGAAATTGAAGTGGGAAGGGAAATTGCTCATCGACCCTTCCCAGACCAGTTTGGGCACCTGGCTCTGTGGCAGATGGCAGAACGGGCAATTTCTCGTATTTTGTTCTGTGTGTGCCAGGATGGAGCCTGGCAGCAAGGGAAGCAGCTCTTGGGCATCTGGCTTTCAGCCCACCACCAGAAGCTTTCAGTTCGCTCATGTGCAACGACACTGCTGCGCAAGTAAGCAGCACAAGGACGCAGTCCAAGCTTATTTGAAGTCTTTGGGTCTGCAAAGTGAAGTACCTGAAGAGGAAGCATCTTTTCTGAACCAGGAGCAGTTTCGGGCTGCCCTGAAAAAAACATGGGACGGCTGCAGACAGGGTCATTCTTTTCGAAGCCTGGCAGATGATGATGTGGGTTCCAAGGCGCGTGCTGGTCGACTTGTTGAAATCATGGGATGCGCGTGCCTTGCAGGGGACCAAAACCTTGTCCGAGCCTGTGATGTTCTGGCTTTCTACCAAGATGTCCGGGCAGGCATGTTGTGTATTCGATACTCTGCAGTCTCGCTGGACTCACAGATTTGTCACCACGGTGTGCTCGGCCTTTGTCATCATGCTGGCACAAAAAGTTTGGATCTCGTTCAGGCGATGGACAAAGTGATTAACAGCTTTTGCACACTAGCTTCTGGTGATCTCGACGAACAGCTTAAGCAGCACATATGCCAGCATACTGAATTTTTGCAAGCTGACGGCGCAAGTGATGAACAACTCACAATGCGCTTTGCAGAGCAAGACTTGTTGCATGGTGTCAGATTGCTTGACAAGGACCCAACCCACGCAGCACGCCGACTGCTGCGCAATGCATGGAAGGCAGACCCTTATTTGGACTCTGTCCTGGCTCAGTACATCACCTCACCAGAATCCATGGTGTCCTTGATCCAGTATTCGCCAGACCTGAAATCCTTGTTCGAAGTTGCTGTGTTGAGTGATGACAATGCCCCATTTTCGGTGAGAAACCTGGGGTGGGCTGCCCATCGGTTTGATTCGCTGACGAAGCCTCTCTCCCGATTTGTGGTGCTCTTTGACAGCATTTGGGCATGTGCAATTGACATATGGAACAGACGCAAGGGCAGTCGCCCTGGAGAAAGGGCGCATGCTTTCTTAGCCGAATGCAGCACAGAATCCCTGCTCCAGCTTGCGATGCTGGCCGATGGCTCTGCAGAAACCCTGGAACTAATTAGATTCTTTGATAAAGAGTCATATGACTCTGCTGCAGTGGCAGAAATGTTGGCGCAGTACAAACATCGATTGGACACTCTCTTTGTCCAGCGAGAGGTGTTGCAGTGCCCCGGCCACACAACTCACCTCATTGGTTTGTTGCAGTCAAAAGAAAGGACGGCAGTTTTGAAGCACGGTTTGTTGAAGATTCTGGGGGGTCCTGGCAGCGTTCCCCCTGAACTACTTGATCGCTGCATTGGTCGCATGTGCAACTGGGTAACGCTTGTTTACACCCGCGTGGCTGCAGAATTTCCCAACCATGACCTGCTCAACAGTATGTCAATCTTCAACTTGGG